GTCATTTCTCACCCTCGCCTGCTGAAAGTGACCGATGGTCAGTCAGGGTCGCAATCTTGACAATGTTAATATGTGGGAGGGTCAGGGTCGTCGGAGGTGAATTGTCCATTTTAATTTTAATAGTTTTTCATACTCTCGCCTGCTGAAAGTGTCCGATGGTCATTTAGGTCTAGGTATTTACCGCGTCGACGAAGAAGGTGTCTATTAAGCATCTAGGTAATAGTCGTCGAGGAATTAAGCGTCTAGATGTTTGACGTCGAGGAAGTGGGTGTCGAGGTGTCCGCCGTCGAGGAAGTTGAAGTCTAGGTGATCGCCGTCGAGGAAATGAGTGTCTAGGTGTTCGCCGTCGAGGAAATAGGCATCTAGCTGTTCGCCGTCGAAGAAGTGGGTATCTAGGTGCTGTCTACATGTTCGCCATCGAGGAAGTTGGTGTCTAGGTGTTCGCCGTCGAAGAAGTGGGTATCTAGGTGCTGTCTACATGTTCGCCATCGAGGAAGTTGGTGTCTAGGTGTTCGCCGTCGAAGAAATGAGTGTCTAGGTGTTCGCCGTCAAGGAAGTGGGTGTCTAGCTGTTGTCTACATGTACGCCGTAGAGGAAGTTGGAGTCTAGGTGTTCGCCGTCGAGGAAATAGGCATCTAGCTGTTCGCCGTCGAAGAAGTGGGTGTCTAAGTGTTGTCTACATGTTCGCCGTCGAGGAAGTTGATGTCTAGGTGTTTGCCGTCGAGGAAATGGGTGCCTAGGTATTCGCCGTCGAAGAAATGGATGTCTAGGTGTTTACCGCTGAGAAAGGGGGCGTCTAGGTGTTCGCTGTCGAAGAAGTGGGTATCTAGGCGCTGTCTACGTGTTCGCCGTCGAGGAAGTTGGTGTCTAGGTGTTGTCTACATGTACGCCTTCGAGGAAGTTGGAGTCCAGGTGTTCGCCGTCGAGGAAATAGGCATCTAGCTGTTCGCCGTCGAAGAAGTAGGTGTCTAGGTGTTGTCTACATGTTCGCCTTCGAGGAAGTTGGTGTCTAGGTGTTCGCCGTCGAGGAAATGATATTAATATGAGATGGGTGACTGCTAAATCGCCGTATCCGCAGTCGCATGACAGTGCGCATAAATCGACGTGTTACACTGTATCTTAAAAGGATAGGCTTCAAATCATGATCCGTTAAAATCTGTGTCATTGTATGAATATACTAATAGCGTTTTTGATTGGGCAAAAGTTAGTGCGCACCAGTGCGCACTCAGTTCACACCAACACTGGACGAGTTCCATGGG